GTCACCAAGAACGGCGGTTCAGGGCGCTAGTAGATGAGGAGAAAGGTTCGATGCCAGTGTGGCCGGCTTTCGCCGCTCTCTCTGAGTTACTGATAGTTTGCAAAACGCACCGGTGTTATGAACTCGTCTGATAAATACAGTCCGCTACTTCGTCTTATACATCGATATGCGGGGATTTCGAATCACCACCAGCTTAACCACTACAGTCATTTCATCCCACCCTATCAAGTTATAGCCAGGGGTATAGTGTTGGCAGAATACGCTAGTTCCCTGCCAGTTTTGGCGTGCCTTCTCCGCCGACCTTCTGTCGAGATGTAGTGATGGTGGAATTTCAACGTCTCTTCTCGCGCGAGCGAGACGGTGAATTACCAGAAGCGCGGGGATATATAAGCCGCCCAAACGGCCCCGCGGCCAAACCCCACGCTGATCTCTTCACAACGAGACGCGTGATGGCTACACTTGTGATAACAACGGTTCCGTAGCGAGCACGAGCTTTGCAGTCTTAGGTTAGCACGTTAGCGAAAGGTCAGAGCCAACTTGAACGCTGACGGGGCTAACGTGTGCTTGCTCCACCTCAGGCTGCGACTGTCCGTGTTCGTTACGCTGACCGTCCGCGAAACTACGTGACCGCATGCGAGCCTGAATTGTGATAGCGCGTAGTTACGATGCGCGCCTGCGGCCTCAATGGGCCAGCACGGTGACGGGCGTAGCTTGTAGACGCGTCCCTGGGTTTGTAATAAAGCCTTCGTTCTCTGTAACTTGCTTGTCCTGTCTTGGTTCATCGACGCTGTACACATCGACGAGTCATTCCTTCACAGGACTTTCTGCATTTCTGTCTTGAATCAAGTTAAGAGCTCGACCGTGCTTTTAAGCCCGGTCACAAACGGACTCGTACGAAATTTTTGTTTCTGTGGTGACCATAAAATATTTGTTCGCCCCCCCGCTTCTCCCTCCTCCCCCCCCCTTTTTTCCTCATGGCAGATCTTGCAACATGCCCGAAAATGTATTTCGAGTGGTCACCAAGGTACGACACATCAAAATGGTTTGGCGGATGGGGGACGCGACAGAAAAAAACACTGTCGTCGGTTATGTCGTGTATGCCTGTCTGCAAGTCCAGTCGTGTCGTCAGTCGTGAGTTGTCGAGCGCATTGTCGCGGGGGCTGTTTTCACGTGAACAGGTTCGTGAGTTCACTCGTGGGACTTGCACGTGCCTACGTTCGTAGCGCTGGCGCACAACAGTCGTGGGGTCAATTGTGGGACCTCGCTGAGTCACTTCGTGGGTTCACTCGTGCTACTGGGTCACTCGCGGTCCGTCTCCCGACTATATCAACGAGGCCCGGTCTGTCTGCTGCCATCCTTGCTGCAGAGATTTTCCAGATGGATACATCGAAGTTCTGCTGCCGAATTTTTGACATTTGTCCACTTCATTTTATCAAAGTTACGTATCCAGGATGACCTCTCAAGAAGAAACCAACAAGGAGAAAGGTTGGTAACCCTAGGAGTTGGCCCTTGGTGAATGCGCAGGGGCGACACTCAGCAACAGCTCGTGAAACATGCCAGACTCCGATCCGCCCATTGAACCACACGAAGTCACCGCAAGATTCCCGCTCCAATCTTGCATCAGAGTACTCATACTGCCCAAAAACATCAGGCGCCGCCTCGATCCACTGGCCGACCCACAACGTCGGGGTTTTCGCCGCGTTCCTTGCGCTGCTCCCGGGCCCGGAATCAACGCCAACAGAGCACGTAGTATACTGCTCCTACTGGGAGTTCCTCAGACGCCCGCTACAGCAGACCACGCGTTAGTTCGCTCAGGTAGAATAGCCATTTCCTCTTCTCAGCTCAATATTCTTCTGTATCCATCGACAAGATATTTATTCGCACGGCCAGTTGCAAGACTGTCCGCATGCTGTTCGTAGAACAAGACTCACGGACACACGCCAGGAAGACATGTAGAATACACAAAAAAATCGTGCCTAACAAAAATAGGTGCATGTTTCAATTTTGCCTCACGACGGCAACCGTGTGCCACGATTGCTCAAAAATTTCGTCAACTGTCTTGCGACGACCCCGATGACCCACGGTATTTGCCAAAATTTTCTGTCGTGTCGTTGCACAAATGCGTCGTGCAGTAATTGGGCAAGAGACTAAACCGATAAGAAAACGTCACAGTAGGAAACCTGTTACAATTAATCCATTTCGGGTTGCAACCGTATTTCGTCGAATAATTCTGCCCCACTCGTTACCCACCCCAGAGTCCGCCATTCGTCCGATTTTCCTGTCATATCCACAATTATTCCTGAACCTGTTACAAGAGCCATATGGACACTGCGGCTGCCTATGATGATGTGATGAAATGTTGCGCGATCTACATGGGTGGTTGTGGGTGGCGGTAGTGTGTTGTGCCGCTGTTGTGGGGGGGGGGGGGCCGCTTGCAACCCCGATTTAGCCACTGACTAATGCTTATGATACTAGTACAAATGGGGCCAAAAATAATAAATATTTCCTGAATTTATTCTCAAATCTGCCGTTAGAATGCAGACAGAAGCATCACACTATTCACAATTTTCCAGCCGTTGGAGGGGGCATGCCCCGCGGACTAACCTAGGCCGCGTGACCTTCGGGCCACGCCTAGCCTCTCAAAATATCAACTCCGGCCCGCCCCGCCCCACGCTCCTGAAACTAGATCCACCCTGGTCAGCATCTATTTTCCGTAGTACAAGTGACTGATGTTGAGTCCAGGCATATCTTCGAGCAGAAAAATCAACTTAAAGAGGACTCATATCCACGTTACTGCCCAGTCTTCTGACGCCCATGCACGAATTTACTAACTAATATCATAAGATAATCACCTTTTCAGCATTACACTCTTTTTACTCTATTTCTGTCGATTAATAAAAAGAATTCAAGTCTGATAACACCCTAACTAACGATGAATTAAGAAGCCCCGAATACGTAAATTTATTGTTTATTATTACTTCCCCTCCCCGCCAACGAGATAATTGGTAGATGTCTATAAGGCAGTAGGCCATGAGCACACATACACGACACGACGAACGCACACACCACACACACAACAACACCACACACCACACACACACCACACACACGCACACATACACCACACACGACGCACGCACGTATGAGAATGAGAGGGGTCGGGACGACATTGCCTATTGACTGATTTGACTAGAATTGTTTCTTCCAATGTTTCCTCTGCTCTGCGAAATGTTCTGTCTCTGTAACTGGATACTGTCAGAAGACATTCGGCAACTTTGACCGGTAATTTGTGCTTGTCCGTTATTTTTTCATAGTAGACGATGCACACATTCTAACCATTGTGTGACGCGCTTACCCCCTTGCCCCAGCCCTCGGCCCCGGCGTCGTTGTTGTGGCGACAGAAGCGGGATAGCGGCATAGTCGATAGCGACGCGGCTGCATCGGCCGTGATTCACGGTCTTGCTGTGCTTCTTTCCGCAGGCCCGTTTCGCCTGCCTAGCTCGTCAGAAGGAAGTGGAGACGAGGACACGAATGCACATTGCGCGGCCACTTTTTGCGCAGTATTCTTGCAGCCACATTCTGCCACATTTCTGGCTGTTTTATGTATAACATGTTTACTTACATTTTGATACATGGGCTTGTTTTTGATGCACATTGCGCCAATCATTCTTAACATGTCCGCTGTTTATGTAGCAACATTTTAGCTGTTGTAGTAGCAATTCCGCTGTTTAGTATAACATGTTTACACGATCTTGGATATCATTGCCGGCATGTTATTGATGCACATATGGCGCCACTTCTTACGACATTCCCGCTCGTTTAGTAGTCACATTGCGTCGGTTAGTAAGCCAATATTCCGCCTGTTTAGTATAACATTCTCTAGCACATTTTGATTACAATTCGCGCAGTTATTGATGCACATTGGCGCCACATTCTTCACATTTGCCGCGCCATTCCGCTGTTTATAGCACATTAGCTGTTTATATAGGCCACATTCCGCTGTTTGTATACATTTTTTTACACTTTTAATTACATTGCGGCAGTTAATTTGATTGCACATGTGCGCCACATTCTTGTTAATCTGCTGCACATTTCTTGCACATTTCGCCGACACCTTCTTGGCACATGTCCGCGCGACTGATTTCCCTGCCACGTTGCGTTGCATCATCCGCGCACATTCCTGCACATTACTGTCTAGTGCACATTCGCTGTTTTAGTAGGACCGGCGAATCTGCGATTGCGGGCGTATCGCATTACTATAGCCCGCGATCGATTATCAAGCTGCGTAGAACTGTGAAGCTTGAAGGAACGATATGGGAAGAGGAATATCATACAACGAGCGCACGTGAACGAACTCCTGAACATTGCACCGGTATTCAGTGAGAGAGATACAGTGCGGCTGAGAGGCTTGTGCGATACAGTCGAAACGCACTATAGAGGATTGAAGGCGTTGGGCCTCCCGGAAGAAACATATTCGAGTATAGTTGTGCCCGCGATCATGGAGAAGCTACCGGTGCCGTTAAGACTCACCATTACGCGGGGAAGGGAATATCTGGACTGGACAATGATAGATATGCTCGAAGCCTTAAGAACAGAAGTAGGACTGCGAGAGGAACATCAGGTGCAGCCACCACAGAGAGTGAGCCAGACGGACCGACCGGGTAGAGTGAATCAACGATGGGGACAGCTTCCCTCGACAGCGAGTGCATTGTTCACGGGAAGAAACAGAGAAAATACATGTGCATTTTGTTGGAGAGAGCATGCCCATGAAAATTGTTTTAAGGCCACGAGTGTAAAGGAAATAAAAGAGCTCCTGCGCAGATATGCTAGATGTTACAAGTGTATAAGGAAAGGGCATCGCGCCCGAGATTGTCCAGTTGTAGTAAAGTGTAAACGTTGGGGGGGGGCATCATACGTCGTTGTGTGCTGGAGAAATGCCCAGGTATAATAGAAGGGAGCGGGAATCGGAGCCGAGTACGGTAACACGTGGGCCGTCAAGTATGCATGTCGAGACGGGGGATCGCGTGGCTTTACAAACTGCCCTGGGAAAAGTCAACGAGAAAGGGCAGGGAAAGATTAGATTGCTATTTGACTTGGGTGGTCACAAATCATTTGTCACAATTAAGGCCGCTCCTAGATATGAACTAGAAGTAATTAGAAAAGAGTGGCTCGGAATAAAAACATTCGGTGTAGAATCAAAAGAAACTAGTTTAAGAGATGTAGTTAAGATAGATATAACAGCCTTGACAGGCGGGAAGGTTACGCGAGTAGAAGCATATGTAGTGCCAAATATTTCTCATATTCAAAATGAACACATTGAGATTGTGAAGAAAGATTACCCGCACTTGAGAAATCTTTGGTTTTCAGATGTGTGCAAAGAGAAAGACGAGCTGGAGATAGATGTACTGATAGGGGCAGATTATTTATGGTGTTTCCAGAGTGGGCGTACCATAAGGGGGGAGATAGGTCAACCAGTTGCAGTAGAAACGAAGGTAGGATGGGTGCTGTCAGGGCCTTTGAAGGGTAGAATCAGTAGGGGCGGTTCAGAAACACAAGTGAACCTTATATCCAGGGAGAATGTCAGGTCAGAGCAGGATAGTATAGACAGGGATATCCATAAGTTATGGGATTTAGAAACCCTGGGAATAAGAGAGAGTGAGGATGTAAGTGAGGAGTTTGCTGATACCATACGATTTACTGGGCAGAGGTATTCAGTGAAATTGCCATGGAAGGAGAGCCACAGAACGCTGCCAAGCAATTATGATAACAGTCTAGGAAGAATGAAAAGCCAGGTTAAGAGGCTGAAGTGGGAGCCAGAGATACTAGAAGAGTATGATGCAATAGTTAAAGAGCAGCTAAGTTCGGGTATCACAGAAAAGGTGGTTGATCTTGAACCAAGAGGGAAAGTTCACTATCTGCCACACCAGGCAGTAATACGCAAGGAAGCAGCAACAACAAAGCTGCGGATCGTATATGATGCGTCAGCAAAAGAGAATAAGATGGGAAAATTTACCTCACTAAATGACTGTCTGCATGTGGGGCCCTCACATCTTGTCTATGCCAGGAGATTAAAGTATATTCCGGACGATGGGACAGGGTGAGAGACTAGCTGTAGTAGAAGGTTCAAACATTTAACAATAAAGTTAGTCCATTTTTGGAAGAGGTGGCAGAAAGAATATTTAGCAGACTTGCGCAAAACGAAGGTGATTGTGATCAGTAGGTGTGGTATACGGGAAGGAGGCTACAGCCTACAGATAGGCGATGTAGTAACGGTGTATGATGAGAATAAAAAGAGGGGCAGCTGGAGATTGGCTGTGTTAGAAAGTTTAATAACGGGAAAAGATAAGGAATGTAGAGGGGCAAGAGTAAGGCAAATTACTGGGGGGAAACCAGTTAGAATTAGTAGACCGATGCAGAAACTATACCCATTAGAGGTAAGAAGCGAAAGTGAGAGAGACAGGCAAGAAGGAAGAGTAGGGGATAGGCCCAAAGGAGCAGCAGCAGTAAAAGCTCGACAGCGCTTACGTGAGTTAAGACAGTTACGTGCATGATTGGCTTGATTCAAGTTTACTGTTTAGTATCAATGATAAAGTGTGCGATAGAACATAGATGATAGAACCGGCCCAGGCGAGATAAAGATTTCACAACAGTGTGACGCGCGTATATGCAAACAATTCAGTGTATATATATGCATTCATTCAACATGAGAATGCGATTGTAAATACGAAATCACATGACCTGTCGCATTTAGTATGCTAAACTTCCGCGAATCGGGGTAACAAGTATGCTAATCAATTTCAGACAGTAGGTATCACATTTATGTTACACTTCAACAAGGCAAGTATCAGTTAAACGAATGAGCCGTTTACATTCAGCTTGTGTGCGCCTTATGATGAATTTATACGAGTGATGCGTCTTTTAAATATACTATGCTACCGTGTTGCCATTCTTATCAAAACGTTCCTAAAGAGATGTAAATGCATAAATTTCTTGTAGTGTATCTTAAACTCAGCTTAGTAGAAGTTAATGTTTGAAATCAATAATCGCATTTCGTAAAATTACAAATGTTAGAAATACTATTTAAGTAAACAAATAAACTTCAGCAAACCTACGTACCCTGCTTCCCTTGACGCCTATAGCGCAGTTTTCTTGTACGTGAAAGGGATTCGTGTCTGTAGAATGGGCAATCGTTCCCACAAACACCTTAAAGTCGTTGCTTTCTGGCATGGTTTCGGATCTAAGTCAGTATCTCGATAACACTCGGGAGTTATACGTGCGAGTTGTAACACTCGCGGATGCAACTATGATGCAGGCCTGACTCGCTCGGCGCTGGACTGTGCTTATACACGCACAAATAGGTTTCGCATCATTTGCTTTTCCTGCGTAATGCTGCGGTGCATTCATGCGATCTGTTGCCGTTTCGCGGCGCGCCACCGGCTGCGCAACACGCGCGGATTAATACGGTTGGCGTTTGGCCAGTAAACACATCACTAGCTAGTGGGTACAAAGATATGATGTACTGTCATTGTACAACACGTACAACACGTACAACACTGCCATTGTAGGTCTATGCGATTACATCGAGCTTAAATAAGATAAATTTACAAAGCTTATCAAAATCCATCAGTCTGGAAAATCAAAGTACGCTCTCTTACGCGAGGCTAAAGAAATCAAAGCCAAATACTTGTCTCCTCAGCCCACCAGCCAATCCTCAACAAAGCAAAGACTGAAGACCAATATGGAAGCAGAGAAGATCGAGGTATTAAAAAACAAGCCTTTGCATGGAAGATTCTACAAGATCCTCGACAGGCCATTTGTCGACAAAACTGCAAGCGTTGCCTGGCTGAGTAGTTCCGGGCTCAAAGGGGAGATAGAAAGCCTGATCATTGCAGCACAAGACCAAGCACTCAACACCAGATTCCATCAACGCAACATCCTCAAGCAACAGGTCAACAGCAAGTGCAGAATGTGCATCAAGGCAGAGGAGACCATCAGCCACATCATCGCCGGATGCACAGTGCTGGCCCCAATCGAGTACATAAACCGCAATAACAAGGTAGCCAGCTATCTGCACTGGTCAATCTGCAGTGAGCTTGGTGAGCAAATACATGACAAGTGGTCTGAACATACTCCGAGACCAGTTACCAACATCGGAGATACTACCATAATGTGGGATATGGCAGTGCATACAGATCGCACGATACCTGCAAACCGCCCTGATATAGTGCTCCACAACAAGAAAGTAAAACGATGCCTCTTGATTGACGTAGCCGTACCAGATGATACTAACATCATGGTGAAAAAAAGAGACAAACTCACCAAGTACAAAGATCTGGAGATTGAAATTAGGAAGATGTAGAATACTAAGACGAGAATTGTACCAGTGGTGGTTGGAGCCCTTGGCTCTATAAAGAATGGTGTTGAGAAGAACCTTAAGGAACTCCCTGGCCACCACACTGGCAGAAAAAATTCTAGATTGAATCCCTCTGTCCCAGGTTGGGACACGGTCAACCCAGAAGCCACCGGCTAATGCCGTGATCCACTTTGGAAATAATAATAATAATAATAATAATAATAATAATGGAGATCGAAATTATGAGGATGTGAAATACTAAGACGAGAATTGTGCAA